GATAGCGACCCTTCCAAGCACATTTCAGGAGAACGAAGGGACTCCACCAATGTAATCCTGAATGACAGAGGCAGAACTCTGCACGCTGTGTGCTTTATCTCATTTTTACCTTTCTTATGGAAGAATCTCTAAATACTAGATAAGGTCCCTTGAATACACTATACCAGTTTCTTAACATTTTCTCTGATTTCTCTTTAGTGGCCTTTATGGGAAGAAACAGCCCATTAATTAAATTCAGACTTATCAGAATTGCTAAGGGAATTGTTCTGAACACTGGTATTATGAACAAGAAGTGTTATAACCTTTACAATGATGTTATTAAAGCGATTTAGAATATTAAAAATGTGGACGGCAAATAACGACAGGAGATTCCAGCTGGGGAAAATAATAGCCTCACCTCTGTGAACAGGATCATAAATGTGGGTATCTCAGGCAAAGCAGGCGATAAAGGAAAAATGTCAACATCAATAAATTGGGTGATGATGGCTTTAAAATGTGCTGACAGCTTTAAAATGTGATAACAGTCCATGTGATAGCTACTATTAAAAAATGAGAGACAAAGCTTATGCTTGTGTAAAAGCTAAGAATATGCTTAATTGTTGATTTTACTTGAGGGGAAATGGAATAAGATTTTCGCCTCTTGGACATTCACTAAGTTTAGCATTCTGTATTCTCTCATATTCTCTTTGCTGTCGAGTCAGAACTAATTCACAGCTGACTCTTCAGTGAGTTTTCAGAGGCTGTAAATCACAGGGGAGGAGATTGCCCATCTTTCTCCCTCAGAGCAGCTGATGTGTTCAGCCTTAATGCCTTTGGGTTGGCAACACTGGTCCGTGTGCACAAGCCCACTAGAGCGCTCTACATTCTATTATAACTTCTGTACATCAGGGAGAGAAGAATAAGGTCCATATCAACTAATCCCTAGAAGGAGATTATGCTCTAAATTATATTGAAATAGCCTGGATAAGTAGTGGATAAGTGCTTGGCTGTTAACCAAAAGGCTAGTGTTAGTGGTGTAAGCGTATCATTGGCCTTCGAGAAGAAAAGATTTAGTGATCTGCTCCTATAATGATTACAGGCTAGAAAATTCTATGGGTAAGAAACTGTGCTGCAATCTCAAGGGCATGCAGTTCGAATCCACTAGCTGCTTCATGGGAGAAGAATGGGCAACCGCTGCCCATGTAAATGACTGCTTCTGAAAACCTGCTTGAGGGTCTTCTATGAGTGGGTTCTGATTAGATGGCACACAACTCCAATATAGATATAGTATGTTGTTACATAGATATGTTGTTATTGTGAGTAATTGAGTTGGAACTGACCCATAGCTGGGTTTTCAGAGGCAGCAAATCATATGGAAAGTATGTTGTTATTGTCAGGTGCTTAGAACTCATAGCAACTTTGTATGACAGAGTGGAACTGTCCCATTGAACTTTCTTGGCTATGATCTTTATGTAAACGGGTCTTTCAAGGTCTTGCTCTCATGGAGCCTCTCTGGGTTGGGCAGTTATAGCTGAGTGCTTAACTGCTGCACCACTAGGGTTCCTAGACATAGTATGTTGTTGTTGTGTATCGTTGACTTGGAGCTGATCCATAGCTGACCCTCCAAAGGGTTTTTAGAGGCCGTTAATCTCACGGGAGAAGGAGATTGCACATCCTTCTTCTGTGAAGCAGCTGGTGGCCTCGAACTGTGTGCCTTTGGGATTGCAGCACAGCATCTTGCCTTTGGGCCATCAGAGCTTCCTAGATACAGAATGGATATAATGGGAGAAATGATACCAACAGGTGAATGAGGGAGAAACAAAAGAGGCTGAAATCTTGACTAACAGTCTCCTTTGAAGGACGGAGAAGTTCAGCATGGGGAAGAAAAATTATGGAATAATTCTGGAAAATTTCATAGCATTGGAGTCTTATTAGATTAGTAATTGTCCTGTGCTTAGAGATTTTTTAAAAAATATAATTTTTTAAGTTATTTAAAATGGAAGAAAGCACTCAATTTTCCTGCAGGCAACGACTAAGTGGGATGGTAGCTAAGAGTGGGGTGACTTAACATCTCCCGTATGTAACTTGCGTCTTTCTAGCTCATTAATTCAAGCATCCAAGCATCATCTTGTGCTTCGGTTACCAAATGCAGAATCACAGGCAACTCTGCATCTCAGATTCAAGAGATTTCCCATCCCCAGGAACTCTCTGTGGGTAGAAACGGAAACAAAACAACCACCACCATAACTATAACAAATAACTAATATGACAATAGGACTAATTACTATACTGAAAGCAGGAGTGGCACCCATTTCCTAAACAACATGCCTCTGGGAACTCTATGAACTTTGATAAATGCCGGTGGTTGTAGAGGGGCTTCAGGCCTTTAGTTCATAGGGTCGCTATGAGTCGTGCTCCACTCAAAGGCCATCATCATCAACAACAATTTCTATAACAATAGTTATACATCTTGAAATCACTTAGTCCAAACTCAAAGAGTTCACATCAGCATTCCCTTTGGTGTCTTTCCAATGACCTCTGCTGCTCCTGTGATCTCGAATCAAACAGGTGTATAGCCTGCACTAGCATCTTACTATTTCCCCTCAATATCTCAGGTACAAATATTTACTGGTGTGTGCGTACACAGCTGGATAGAGAGGAGATAAAGTAATTGGTCCGAACACACCATATACTGATTTGGTACCTCCTCATATGGTCTTAAGAGAGGTTCTCAAAAAACTCTGTAAGGAACACTGTTCCCATCTAATGAATGAGGACTCTGGGGCCCAAGAAATAAAGAAAAGCCTCAAGACTCCAGGCTTCGAATCCAGGCTTGTCTGAACAATCTTGGGAACATTATTCCACGAATGTGGTCTGGAGATACAAATGCTGGTAGAGAAAGACTTCAAAACCAAACCAAACCAAACCAAACCAAACCAAACCAAACCAAAAAACTTCTTGCCACTGAGTCATGTTGAACCTTGCTAGGATTGACTGACAGATAGAAAGAGTTGGATTTCTTAAAAGAGGAAATCATTATAGAAACAGACTGCCGTATCTTTCTCCCACGGACCAACTGGTGGGTTTGAGCCACTCTTCTTCTGATTAGTAGCTGAGTGTTTTAATCATTGCACTATCATGGCTGTCATAGGGAAAGAGTAGTACTATAGACTCAATTACATCCCCCTAAAAGATAGGGTGAAGTACTAACTCTCACCGCCTGTAAGGTGATCGTAACCGTGTTTAGAAACAGGATCTTTGAAGTTAAATTAACATGAGGTATCATAGAGACCCTAATCTAAGTGTTCTTATGGAGAAAAAAGAGACACAAAGGAGAGTCATGAGACAATGGAGGCGAAGATTAGAGCAATCTACCAACAAAGGAATGCCAGTGAATGCCGGTCATCACCAGAAATACAGACACACATAGAAAAGAGACTCTCAGTGCCCTCACAAAGAACCAGCATGAGTGACATGTTCACTTCAGATCTCTAGCCTCCAGAATTAGGAGACATTTATGCTCTTAAAAGCCACCCTCTTGTGATATTTGGTCTGACAGTCCTAGGAGAATAGCACATTAGTATTCTCAATTTTGTGAATTAGATATCTATTCCTAAAGAACTACAAACAATTCTGCAGATTGGAGAAGCACAGAATACGATTAAAGGGGCATTCATGTCAAGAACAAGCTTTGGTGGCATAGTGGTAGGAAGGTGTGTTGCAATTCCAAAGGCACTTGGCTTGAATCCACCAGTTACAATTTCCTCCCATGTATTAAGTGCCTCTAATAACCCACTGGACGGTCAGCTATGAGTCAGTTCCACTTCGAGGGCACACGACAACAACAACATGTCAAAAATAAAATCACAGTGTCATCTTCTAGAATAATTTTCTACTCTGGAAGTTATAGGGCTGGTTACAATGTTCTTACTGGTGTCCTGAAAGTTGACGTCATTGCCATTGTAGGCATTCTTCAGCTTGTTGGTCATCACACGCAGCGCCATGATCTGCTGCCTGATGAAAGTGTCCGGCCTCGTGATGTCCACGTCCACCTCAGGGTTGTTGATCTGATTAGTCAGCCCGTCGTTCATGATCTCAGGCAAGTACCTGAAGGACAGAGAGGGAGACACCAAGTCATGGTGATGCCACAGGGACATCAAAACCAGATTCTGCCATGCTGTGAGCCTAAACAGCTGGTAAAAGCTGGACCCAATTCCTGGAAAGAAAAAACCCAACGAATAAAATACATTTTTTATCCATAGAGATGGAGCTAAAATTACTTTAGCAAAGCTTTTACAGTGGCACTTGGTTCTTAGACTGTCTGTAAAAAATAAATAAATGCTAAAGTAAGGGCTTGGAATCATAGACTTCTCCCTTCACTCTAACAGTTGAATACTTCAAATGAAAGACACACACTGACATGCACACCCCCCTACATACTGCAGAATTATTTACAGAGTCAGAAATGAGAAAAGTGCCCTCTAAAGGATGAATGGCTAAGAAATTGTGGTACATTTACACAATAAAGTTTTACACATCACTAAAAAATTCTTAAGTATCTGTGAAATATTGCACAATATAGATGCAACGAAAAGAAATTATGCTGAGTGTTGTAAGTCATCACCAAAATACAGTCATGGTATAAGATCACTAAAAAAAGGCCAAGGAAAGATCCAATGGGGACGTGAAAAGATGGAGTCATAGTAGACAAAGACAATGGTGATTAACTTAATAAAATGCAATGTAGAGGAATGATTGTATGAAACATTCCTCCTATGATTGTATATGAATTTTGTATGCAAACCATTATTTTTTTAAAAGTCTAAAGGGACCTCTCAAAGGTACTCAGGAGCAACAGTGTCTCTCTGGAGACTAAGGTGCGCCTGATACAGGCCATGATATTTGCAATCGCTTGTTATGCATCAGAGAGTTGGACAATGACTAGGGAGGACAGAAGGAGAGTGGATGCTTTTGAGCTGTGGTGCTGGAGAAGGGT